CCCCCCCCCCCCCCCTATCAAATCTGCCACTGGCCCTGCCGGCGGTGCCCGGGGCACATCCCCCCTAGCTTTAGCACTGCCTTCAACCACCCCTGTGCCTCCCCTTCCCCACACACTAAGCCACTATTACCTGGCTTCTCTGCACTTTTTCTAGGTCTCCCAGCCTGCTCAGTCCGGGTACTGACGAGATGCCCCGCCTCCTGCAGAGCCCGCACTGTACTGAGAGCTGCGCATTCCTTGTGACAGCCGCTGCTTGAGTCAGTGAGAGGCAGCCCCGGAGCATCCGTGCCGCTTCAATGACAGCCCAGCCTGCACGGCATCAGAGGGGCCCGGGGACCACAAAATGTTCTCGCGGACCACCGGTTGGCGACCGCTGATCTAATAGTATGCCACAGATGTTCCCAGAGATCACCCCAAAAAGGAACACCAGACAAGGTAGGGCCAACCCTTTAAACGGAGGGAGTATCATTGCTCCAGAACAGATCTGGAGAGCCCTCATGTAGCCCATATACTGTGTAGCACAAAATACACTTACCTTGGTCTGAATTAAAGATGTATTAGTGTGCAAAGTTTCACCTAAATCTGTTAAATCCTTAGCAATTTCATCTCCCTTGGCAGACGTCTGTAGCATAATAGAAAAAAAAAAAGTAGAAAATAAATAAAAAGAGCAATATAATGCCAATTAATTATTTTGTCTGAGCTACAGCTTTGGAGCAACTTCTTCCACTGAGAAGTTACAAACTCTTTGTCCAGCAGTAGTCATCCTCCCATGCACCCCTTACTAACGGTGTAAATTACTTTAGATTGCATGCTGCCCATTTCTAACAGTTATATAAAAGCAGACTTTGATGAAAAATTAAATTTTAAAAAGGATAAACTAGATTACTCCCTTAACCCTGTAAAGTAAGACAAACATTTCCTTTTTGTGTGCCGCATGCTATTGATATTTGCTGTGCATTGTATATGAGGATGTCATGCCCATCCACATTCTGGGGCTGGAGCAGGAGCAAATAAGGGAGTCGGCTGCC